AACCACGTTTTATGAAGTAAAGGGAGGTTACATCAGGATCGACACTGGCTTCTATTCTGAGCCATATCTGATAACGTCTCTAGCCACTGTGTAGCACCATCTCTCGGACCCCAACCAGGGAGTCGTGAAGGACAAACACAAGCCAGCCCTTTGCAGCGTTCTCTCATACCACGACACCATGTCATATACTGACCACCTCTTCGCTTTTTCCAACCAGTCCCAGAGTCGGCAAATAATGCACGACGTGGAATTCTCTGGGACGACATTCGGAGAACATGACCAAGCCACCGAAGTCGGTGTTTCAAGATGGCGACAACAATTGCATTATCATTTCTGTGCCCGAACACACGATGCCGAACCTCTGCATTACTGACATGGTGTCGCCAGTGGATGTCGGCAATCCGTCGGAGACAGCGATGATCAAACACAGAGTCTTCTAATGTCCTCAACTCGGAGAGTCCAAGTTTCACAAACATAGAGCAAGACTGCTCTCACCAACACGTTGAATATCCGACCTTTTACAGCCAGACTAACATCGTGAAGGCGCCAAAGGAGGCCCACAATGGCATAAGCCGCTCTGGCTTTCACTATACCTGAATTGATCTCATCATTCACGCCACCACCAGCACTTATGCAGCTACCCAGATACACGAACTTCTCGACCACTTCTATCTGCTCACCATCCAGGGTGAGTACAGGATTAGGATCCTGCCAGTCTTGTAGAAGTACTTTACACTTCGAAGGTGCAAAGCACATACCATACCTACGGACACTGATTGCCAACTGATTAAGTGCGGATTGCATGCCTTGGGCATTATCGCACAGTAAGACAATATCGTCCGCATACTCAAGGTCGAGAAGTCTTTCTCCAGGCAACAGATCCACACCACCATTACTTACATCCATCAGAGCTGTTTCTAGAATGCCATCGATGACAAAGTTGAAGAGAAATGGTGAGATTGGGCAACCCTGTCTAACCCCACTGCTCGAATGGAACAATGGAGAAGGGTGGTTGTATGCCCTCACTCTACCTGAGGTGTTTGTATATAGGGCTTTTAGGATGTTAATAAACTTCTCAGACACACCCTTCTTCAATAGACAATCCCAGAGAACAGTCTTGTCCGACGAATCGAAGGCAGTCCTGATAGCAAGAAACACTACGATTGTTGGCCTTTGATAAGTGTGGCAGTGTTCTAACATTTGGCGGAGGGTGAATATATGATCAATACATCCTTGACCAGAACGAAACTGTTGGGGACGATATATCCCCATAACTCATATTTGTAATTTTATCATATCGATTAACTTATCGATTAAATGATTAAATAGCAGTCAATTGATGAACTCATTGATTAATGTTTAAAAGTTTCCCATGACAATTTCGATTATATACATTTGCATATATACGTTTTAAATTGTGTTTGTGGGCTCGCTCGTTTTCTGTCTGTTTGAAGAATTTATTTTCCATACCAAGCTTGGACTTCTGCTTCTAGATAGTGGGGCTGGAACGCATCGATAGCTAGATTACTGGTCTTTGGTCACCGAGGCTCGTTCTCGTTCAGAGATTAAGTGAACTCGTGAGGCTTCAAATCAATACATCCTCGACCAGAACGAAACCCAGCCTGCTCCTCGCGGGTCAATCTTTCTCGGGTTTTGAACAACCTACGAAGTATGACGGAAGCCAATAGCTTGGACGCAATCGGAAGTAGACTTATCCCCTGACAGTTGTTACAGGAACGACGTGAACCCTTTTTAAAGATAGGGACAACTATCAACTCATTCCATGACGTTGGTACACTCTCTAGTTCCCAGACCTTTGTGAACAAGGTCGTCAGTTCTTTAGCCAGAGTCACCACCGTCTTTAAAAAGAGCCGGAGGTAAGTCATCTGGACCCGGTGATTTGTTACGCTTCAAGAGTTGGAGTTCCTTGCGGACTTCCACCTCATTCGGTGGATCAGTCGTCACCGGCCATGGAGGGCAGGACAATCTGACCGATGTTGCCGGAGCAGCAGGCCAGTTGAACTGCCCTTCGAAGAACTCTGCCCGTCGTCCAAGACGTCGATGGATGTTAGTGATTGGCATCCCGTCATCCTCACAGATTGTTTCGCTTACACCAGAATTCTTGCTGCCAGTGGCTCGGATGAGTTGGAAGAGCTTCCGGTAATTACCAGATGCAGCTGCTGCTTCCAGCTCATTAGCACGCTCCGACCACCAGGCTTCTCGGTCCTTACGCAAGCTTTGCCCAATTTTCTTACGTAACATCCTTCGTTTATGGTCAAACTCACGGTCACCCGGAGTAGACCGACGGGCTTCAATGAGTTGTATGGAACCAGAAGAAACCCAGTGCTTATAAGTGGGACGTTTCGCAAACCCACAACTGACTGTTCCCGCCATTTTCATGGCGTCATGCAATTGCAACCAATGCTCATCTATACTTTTTGATGGAATGGTAGCTAGCCTAGAAGCTAGCTCGGTTCGATACTTACTTGCAACAGAAGTTGCAACCAACTTGCTGACATCAATCCTTTGATGGCGGTCACTTCGTTGGCCACTGAAAAGAAATGTAAGATTGGCGCAGACAAGGGCATGATCAGAATCCAGATAGGTACTCCAAAAGGAGCGGCAATCTTGTACACAACCACGCCAGTGGTAGCTGACCGCGATGTGATCAATCTGAGTCCAGGCTTGAGATGCAGAGGGAGAACGCCAGGTGGCACATCGGCGATGACTGTGCCGGAAGTTAGTGCTAGTCAGAAACAGGTTGTGGTCTGTGCAAAGTTGCAGTAGACGGTCCCCGTTATCTGACCTGCGACCAACGAGTCCCCATCGGCCACCTCAACGACTCTATTCTGTGCCTAGACGCCCGACCTGAGCATTCAAGTCTCCGGCTAGTACTACAATATCTGTCGAACGCACTTTCTGGAGAAGAACAGATAACTAGTGGTAGAATTCATCCTTGATTGCATCCGGGCTGCAATCTGTCGGAGCATAGGTGGAGATGACGAAAAGACATCGTTTCTCCCGCCGATTTCTTCTCACTTTGATGTAACTCTCTAGTCTAACAGCACATAACCGACCGTTAATGGGGATCCAGTCGATTAGTGCTGCCTCAGCTCTAGCGCTTAGTGCGACACCAACGCCAGCAACACCAGACGAAGATGCCACAGGGTCCCCGGATAAGCGCACGTGAAACAAGGTTTTCGAAGCGACAGATGGAGAGCGAATTTGTAGTACTTCACCAGTCTTGAATACGGGTCTCGAATAGACATAGCCAGCCCTATCTGTTGTCCGACCTGCATAAATGTGCGAACGTTGAAGGCAGCCAGTTTGAATGGTGCACGTGGTTTCAGAAAAACTGCTTCAGTCCTCGTATTCGGTGGTAACATACAATTTTCAACCGGACAGTGACTCGAGAACGTTTAGATACAGTCGAATTTTTACCATAGACGAGCTGCGGTATAAGTCGAAAAAATAAATATAGACAGAGTAGGAATAAAAGAGGGTGAATAATGACGTAGTAAATAATAATAATAATAATAATAATAATAATAATAATAATATTAATATTAATAATCATAATAATAATTTGAATCATTTGATTGTTAGTCGAGGCAAGAAAAGTAGTTTCCATAAGTATAGACAGTTCATCATTTGTGTGTGGGTTGTGATACTGCTCGGGTGCCTAGACTGAAGCAGGTGGTTTTCTTAGGGGGCCACACCTCGAGCCTTTGACCTAAAGGTCTAACCCACAAGGCAGTGGAGCATCGTGAGGAGATGCAGTCCCATGGTAGCCGATGACCGAAAATGGGTTCATACGCCATTTGTTCCCACAGGATACTGGAGCCCATGTGCACCATTGGTTTGGTTTGGAATCCGGTTAAAGCGCCGGACATTCGTTTTTCGTCCTCTCATTTTCGTAAATAACACCCCCGCCACGAGAAGGCAGTGAGTAGGACTTCCCTGGCAGAGGCTGTATACGCGTGGCCGTGTGAGAGTATTCCGAGAGGGAAGGCAAACCCACCCCACTCTCGGCCATACCAGGGCATTTGGGGGCTTTTGTAATTCTCCAAGTTTCAACCCCATACAGTAGAACTCTCTTGACATCTATATTGAAAATTCTGACCTTGATGTTGGTTGACAGTTGTTTTAAGTTCCAGATGTTATTCAATTGTGAATATGCTGTTCTTGCTTTGCCGATCCGCGCCTTCACATCTGCGTCAGATCCACCGTGCTCATCAATGATGCTGCCCAAATATATAAAGGATTTTACATCCTCCAAATCTCCTCCGTCAAGTGTGATTGGATTGATGCATGTTGTGTTGTGTAGGAGAATCTTGCTTTTCCCTTTGTGTATGTTGAGACCTACTGTTGCTGAGACTGCTGCTACACTGGTCGTCTTCTCCTGAATTTGTTGTTGCGTGTGCGATAGAAGAGTCAAATCATCTGTGAAGTCTAAATCGTCCAGCTGTATTCTAACCGTCCACTGTATTCCATGCTTCCCTACAGATATTGACGTCTTCATGATCCAGTCGATCACCAAGAGAAAGAGAAAGGGTGATAGTAAGCAATCTTGCCTGACATCGGTCTTTACTTCGAACGAGTTTATGAGCTGTCCTCCATGCATGATTTTGCATCCATCATAGAAATTCCGTAAAATATTGACTATCTTCTCAGGCACGCCGTAGTGTCGAAAAAACCTCCATAGTGTTGTCCAATTTTTACATACACGATCTAGTAATTCTACTAGGTTACCACCCTGAACAAAACAGATCGTTGCAATTACGACATGTAATCTAGTGGTTAAGAGATGAAACCTTTCACCACTATTATAAGCCAGGGTGTTTCATGAAACAACTAATAAATGTTCCTAGCATCTATACACTTATTTACTATTGAACATAAATTATTCTTCACAGATTTACTCAAAAGTAAAACGAATGAGTAAATCAGAAATCATATAAGATGGTAGATCATTCATTCACAAGAGAAAAAAAACTTACTCGTGTCAGATAAATGGTACGTTTGTTTACACGAATATTCATTAAATAATAGACAATTCGACTGTTGATATTACCTGAGAGATTATAAGAAGACATTTGGAACAATGGAAGTTGAATGAAAAAAATCGAAGAGTAATTAATTATTTGTGAACTATTTAGATAGTTTCACTTAATGTACAAAGTATTAAGGACATTGCATATGAGTAAGCACAATGATATATATGTATTAGTGAGATTCATAGTTGATAAATAGATAACTAAACAATATATGTCCTGTTTGGTGAAGACGCTGATAAAATGGAGAGTGTTTTGATAGCACTGAGTAACAATCCCAGAATGTTTGAAATGCGCTTCTCTCCCTCTAAATGCGAGTTGTTGCTCCCGAACTGGCCTGCATCAACACCTGAACTATGGATAGAGAGTGAAGTAGTCGATCTCGTTGACAACTACACTTATCTTGGAAGTCTGATCAGCCCTAATGGGTTGGTGTCTGACGGAATCTCAACATGGATTCGAAAAGCTCGTTTGGCTTTTTCCAGCTTACTTCACCTATAGCAAAGGCGAGATACCCATCTATCAATAAAAGAACGAGTATACTGAGCAGCAGTTCGTTCTGTTCTAATTTACGGCTGCGAAGAGTGGCCATTAACGGTAGGAGATACTCGAAAGCTACGAGTATCTGACCACAGATGCCTTAGAAATATTGCTGGCATCTGCTGGGATCACTGGGTAAGTAATAGTGAGATTAGACAACAGGGTATTGGGGAATAATGGTAAATCAGTTGATGAGGTTGTGAATCTTCATCGACTAAAATGGTTGGGTCACTTGTTGCGTAGACCTGAACACCGATTATCACGACGCGCAATGGTGACTAGTGTTGGGGATGGTTGGAAGAAAGTTAGGGGTGGTCAAAACAAAATGTGGCATCAGTTCACGAAATCCTTAACTTCTAGTCTGAGCCATGTCGGTAGATCCAGACTAATTGGTTAGGGTCCGCGTAACTCTCGTACCCAATGGTTGGAGACTCTGGGTGACATGGCTCTGAATCGATCACAACGGCGTAGGTTTATACACTCTCTGTCTTCCCTTAAACTATGTGGTTAAAATAGCTTCATATCTTTCTTCTTGTACTATATCCTGATATGCAATCTTTCTTTTATATATTACCATCATTGACTTAACTACTCCTAGGAATCCGGTGTTCAGCTTGCTGTGTTAATGCGGTGTGGCAACTTGGACCGATGCGTATATGTGCCTGGTCCTACGTTATAGCTGACTGACTGATATATATATGAAGGCTAATAACACTATTCGGTTGACGAAAATCATTGAAATAGTGTTGAAGTGAACCAGTGACTGAGAGTTCCAGCATTGATTTTTGTAACAATTACAAATAGCTATAAGACAGTTATTAATTGAAATTAGTGCAAGTAGAAATTCTATTTAGGCCAATAAAAAGTCGAATTCTAAACAAAACAGATTTACGATATTCAGTATATTTATTTAAAGACTTCTCATCTCAGATAATTACTAACGTTTTCGTTGAAATCGTTAAATGATCAATGTGTAGGTCACTACTGAAAATCTGGAAGTACTGAACAGCTGTTTTCTCTTAGTACGAGACTACTTAGCAGTGCATATCCACAACCCCAAACACAGTGAGAGAACCCAACACCATTCGTCTTGTGAGCAAACGTTAGACCTGTAGACCAGTGATCCGGCATTCAACGGTGTTAATGTCTATCTTTAATCAATCCACAATATTGCGCAACCATACTTCATTGTGTTTGTACCGAACACGAATGAATTCCACTGGTGACAGCTTCTCATTAGAACTCCGTGCACAGATAAGGAGTCCCATACCAGAACAAAACGACCGACCAGTGTTTAAAGAGTTTAAGTAATAGCCTAACACTGATCAGTTCATGATTTCAATGAAACTCAATCAACTCCACAACCCTATACTAACTACTAACTTTTTAAACGAAAAAGCTAATTCGATATTGCTAGGTAATGTTAATTAAAACTAAGAAGTTTCGTTTGTTTTATGTCATTTAAAGTGAAAGAAGATTGAATGGGTTAATAGATATGAAAGATGATCAGGAAAAAAAAGGTTTATTCATTGATTTTATTGATAAAAGTATAAACTTATAAATATTTTATTGACTACTGATAAAATTCATTAATCAAGATATTATGAAACCGTTCATCATACAAACATTGATCTATAGTTACCAATCAATGAGCAATGATGAATGATGATAGCTTGAAGTTAACTATTGGTTAGGGTATACAAACTATCCTCACAACTAATTTTTTTTGATAACATACGTGAATAACGTTTTTTAGCAGTTTTGGAGCGGTGACTAAGTGGTCAAGCCAATCTACTTTCAACCACTAGGTTGTAGTTTTGAGTCGTATTCGACCTAATTGAGTTTGGAGAGTCGAACAGTACTCCTAGCACACAAATACATAAAGAATAGTGGAAAGCAAAGCATGCGAATCTGTACTTAATAAATGAGTTACATCTATCTATTTCTCAGAAATTTCTATGGAGATTGAAACTATTTAGTTAATTCGTGCAGTCTTTCTAATTGGCATTTTCGCATGAATATTGATTGTTTGTTATCACATCTAATTTGTTAATTCTATCTCAAAATCAAGCTGAGATATTATATATACAAAGGGATATGTTTCACTTTGATTTTGTCGTTCTCATTATTAAATACCATGCTTATTTTCTGCACTGCTATCTTTTTTAGGTTCTATCATTGAGCCTGGAGCCTTAGACCCAAACGTCTGATCCACAAGGCAGTGAAGCAACGTAAGGAGATGCAGTTCCATGGTTGCTAGTGACCAACAATAGGTTCATACACCATTTTTTCCATCAGGATCCTGGAGACCATGAGCACCATTGGTTTGGAATCAGGGTTTTCCAACTCCTCTAAGTAGACCCTTCATATCCACCAACCCGGTTAAAGCACCGAACATTTGCTTTTCGTCCTCTCAATTGGGTAAACAACAACCCCGTCGCGAAAAGACAGTGATTAGGACTTCCCTATCAGTGGTTGTAGACATGTGGCCATGTGAGAGCATTTCGAGAGGAAGAGTTGACTCTCACCACTCTCAGCCGTACCAAGGCATTTAGATGATACATTAAATAAGGAGCGTACAGCTACAGAAAGTTTAAATGCATACAGGAAAATCCATTATGAATTCAAAATAAAAATGGTTACTAGTAAAGAAGAAAAAACTGAAATGATTCACACAAACTGATTAATGTATAAACAACATACTGGAAGTAACAAACAAAATGAGGAGATAAGTAAAGAATAGTGAAAATCACCAACAAAAAAAAGTGAAGAGCTTTAATATTCAAGATGTCTACATTCCTTTTTATTGTGTTTAAACATTAAGTTATATCAAGAAAAAACAATTAGATTTAACCGAATGAATTTCAATTCTATACAAATAAAAGTAACATAATCGCCAAAGTTTAATAAGTCGTAGAGTTGTATTTATAAGTACACCATTGAGAAGTCTTGAAATATCACTTAAATTCCAATAGTCACCTCAATGGATCTTATCCCATGACAATAGTTATCTCAAGATGATGAAGTAATAATAAATTAAGATACACAATCATAGAGAATAGGTTATAATATATTTATATAATAGAACTTCGTACGTACGTACATCAGTTCGAGTTGCCATACCACATTAGCACAGAGATGCAGTTGTCGATTCAAATCCCGTAGTGGTAGAGGTAGTAAGAATATAAACAGTAATCGGAAAGATTAGGGTTTGGAAATCCCTTAAAACGATTGTATTAGTCAGTAAATCAGTTATGACTAGTATAGAAGCTGATACAATTGTAGTTTAGAGTTCAAGCTACCATACTGGACCGAAATAGTAAGATAAAACCAATAAGACGAACAACAAACAAATGATAATAGTATCAATCATATTAAGGAAAGATAATAATGAGAATATAACTCGAGAAGAAATGGAAAGAAAGTGAAAAAGGTAACTAAAACTTAAAATCTATGAAGAGGTAAAGAGTGAATCCACTTAAGCTCCTGCTATTCATTCTTAGCCATGTCACCTATACTATTACTATTACTATCATTGTTATTATTATCAAGTAAGTATTCCATTTTTATCAGTTTAGATTTGTTTTAACTAAATGTAACTAAACTAGGTTAGACATAGTTCTAGGAATGACCATAAGTTTACAAGAACAAGCATAGACATACTCTTTGAATGGAAGATAATGAAATCTTTTTTTCTGCATGCATATATACAGAACACACAGTGAGTACACTTTTGTAAATTCAACTCTGAGATGTCCTTTTTCTAACTAAACCAACAACATTAATTGCAAAGTACGATGAATTCATTACATTTTATTGGTCGAAAAAAATACATGTTAATAAGCCTTAAAAGACAGATGGATTAAATATAATCTTTGCATTAAAAGAGTCAGTGGTTATTTATTTATTTGAGCACATAAAAATTGGTAAAAAGGGGCACCAAATACATATGCGCCACACAAATCACTTGATTTATGTGTGGGCTGTGATACTGCCTGGGTGCTCAAACCGAAGCAGATTTTCTCGGAGGGCCACTCCTAGAGCCTTTTGTCTAGGGGTCTAAGCCATAACACAGTGGAGCAACGTAAGGAGATGCAGTCGCATGGCAGCTGGTGACCAACGATAGATTCACACGCCATTTGTTTCATTAGGATCCTGGAAACCATGTGCATCAGTGGTTTAGAATTAGGGTTTTCCGACTCCCCTAGGTCAACCCTCCGTATCCATCAACCTGGTTAATAAACCGGACATTCGCTTTTCATCCTCTCGATTTCGTAAACAACACCACGAGAAAGCAGTGAATAGGAATTCCCTGGTAGTAGCTGTATACGCTCGGCCATGGGAGAGCATTTCGAAAGGGAGAGCTAACTCTCCCTACCCTCGAACGTCCCAGGGCATTTGTTAGCTTACATCTGCCTTGATAACCGAAGAAATTTGATCTCTCAAATTTGTGATTCACTTAATTATAATGACAATCTGATGAGTTCAGCTTACACATCTTTTCTTTCTAGACTTTTTAGGACTTAATTATGTTACATGAAAAGTTTTTCTGGGTGGCGCTTTTCTAGCAAACTTCATTTCTGAGGGAAAGCAAGGGCAGTATTACAACAATTGAGGAACGTCTGCAAATCTAAACAACTGTCGGACATCATAGTCAAGACAGTTCTATTGTACGGAGCTGAAACGTGGAGAATAACTACATCATCAAAAATGTACAAGTATTCATAAACAATTGTCTACTCATGAAACTCAATGTCTATTGGTCGGATACCATCGGCAGCAACCCTACTGTGGCAGAGAACAAACCAACTTTCAGATGAATAAGAAGTTAGCAAAAGACGCTGGAGGCCGTAGTTCAAATATTGCGGAAATCATCAAATTGCATCAAAAGGCTAACCCTAAATTGGGATGCTGAAGGCGAAGGGGAAAGAGGAAGACCAAAGAACACGTAGCGACGGGACTTGGAGGTAAACATCAAAAGAATGAACAGCACTTGGAAACAACTGAAAAGCAGAACCCAAGACAGAGTTGGTTGGAGAACCCTGGTGGACGGCCCATGCTCCAAAAGAAATAACAGGAGTAATTAGTTGTAGTAGTAATATGATGATTATATATATATCAACTAGTCAGTCTGCATTCTTGAAGGAACTAACGCTCCCCCATAATATTTGGGCCAATTTTTTAACTATTAGAAACTGCAATTAAACTATTTAGGCTGTGACCAACCTACTGTACGACAGTTTAAGAAGAAATGTTCACCAACCAACTAGCTAACTAAAGAGCTCGATAATTTATTCAGCAAAACAAAATAGAATGAACTTACCTTCAATACGATTGGCTAGATATCGTTTGCCTTGATCAAATATTTTAATATACGACCAATCCTTATCCAAATCATCATCAATTGATTCGTACCGCTTCTCATAATGTTCAATACGTTTAAGAAAATCTTTTAACGCTTCTTCTTTATCGATACTTTTGTAATCAGGACTGTTGACTTTTACTTCCTTGAAAACAAATGAAGAAAAGTATAATGGGGAACCATACAACTGGTATAAACGAAAAAATGAGAAGTTCGATGTGATGGTATTAAGGAAGGAAGTATCCTCTAGCTCAGCTTACATAGTGCGACTCACCTGACATTATTTTCATTGAGCTGAACAGCTCTAACTAGTTTTTAATATTCCCCTGAAACATTAACAATATTAGTGCATACTGAAGAGTAAATGTCAGTCAGTCAGCTATAAACAACGTAGAACCTGATATATATGTACATCGCTCCAAGTTACCATACCTCATTAGCACAGTGAGATGAAATTGTCACGGTAAATTGCAAACTACTTCAAGTAGCAACAGTATTAGTGCTTATAGAAAAGATTAGAAATCGGTTAAACGACTCGGGAAAATACAAATTAATGAATCTTAAAGAATTATAAGGAATTTAAGAACTTATGATTTAAGGTATGTGTTATGTCCCAACACGAATAATGAATGGTAACTCTTGGGATCCATTTATGGATCAATACTAAACGTATATTTCTATTGTATAATTATTAAGTAACTAAACTATGCATATTCATATTCCTCTTATTATAAGCTTTATTTTGACCCATAAACTATTATTAAACATTTTAAAATTCTTGAGTTATACCCAATATATTAATTACTACCTCCCTCATTCACAGCCACATCTGGCTAATTCACGTACAAAGGTTGGTCCATATTTTATGCTACATTGCGGTCTGTTTGATTGGTATATGAACTCAGTATGTTTGAAATATAATGATTCATATCGCAGAGGCTGAGACTGGTATTGAGGACTTAACTGGCTGGGTTAGGCGGAAAGCGGGTTTAATCAGGACTCTAGGCTGCTCGCACGTGTTTTACGCGTCCTTGGTCCGATCGATAATCCGCTGCCTCTGATTGGCGGCTTTGGGCCATAACAGGGGAGCAGATGAAATCTGACCGAATTTCTACGGAATGGCAGGACTAGATTTACAGATGCTATTTTCTCGAAATGTGTACAATATATTTAGTAGCTGACACATACATTCAAGCCTGGAAGGTAAAATGTGTCAACCCTCAACAAAATTCAGGGCCAAGAACTTAGTCCTGAACTACCGGCAGACTAATGTCACCACAGTCGTCTTACAGATATTGAAGAAATTGAAAAAAGGTTGTTATCCGGACATATACTAAGAGAAGGTCTAGTTGACGTCTTGCAACATGGCTTCAGAAGAAAAAGGCTGTAAACTTAATATTTGTAAAATTTTCTAAGGTTTTCCACATCCGTGTTTAGAAGCGACCGGCAATCATGCTGTACTTTGATATCAGTAAAGATTCAGATTTGTGTAGTAATGACAAAAGACCTACGGCATATGTTATTCCTTTTCTAGCATGCTTCTGTGAGTGTTTTACGCCCCCTAGGTCCAAGCGATACTTCACTGCTCTCTAATCGGCGGTCACAAGTTATAACAGTAAGAAAAAGAGTGAAGGCACCTGCGTCGTTAAGCTGTTATCCAAAGTTCCTAACCATTTGTTACGATAATCATATGGACCTCAAATAGATAGTCTCCTGTTACCTACATAGCTCAGTCCAATAGTCAGTGTCTTCACAGACTGATGCTGTAAATACGTTCGGCAGCCCCTAGCTTTCTTCCAAATTACTACTACATTAGCCATCATCGCTCGTTGAGGTGGTCAGTGGATTTATACACGTAATATATGCCTGTAACGCAGCTGAAACGTTACACTATGGACTTCTAGTTTTCATTATCAGATTGTCTTAATCTCACGCTTGTTATTTCTAAATGTCAAATTAAGTCACAGAAAATCACACTCCATAACAGTGGCCGAGTGATCTCAGTCGATGAAGATTTGTAACCTCGTCAAATGACCTACTGTTTTACTTAATATTGTATGTTTAACCTCAAAACTGTTAAGTCGGCGGTCCCAAAATGCAATAGTAATGGTTTAAAGACATTTATGATCGAACAATGATAACCCAATAACATGTACTATTTTTGAAGGCCACATTTCAGTCATAGAGTAGAGTGGATCGAGCTTCTGGACAGTATACTTGTCCTTTAGAGTTGGTACACGAATATCTTGCCTACGCCACAAGTGACCGAATTGGGGAAAAGCCAATTGAGCTTTCTAAATCCGCACTGACATTTTATCAAACAACGACCAACTGGTTCTGGTGAGAGTCCAAAGGTGAGCAAAGTGTTTCACACAATACACTCCCTATCATTCGTTCAGGTGCCGATGCAGATCAACCCTGAAGTAACATTTTACACTAATAAGGTTATGCCAACGTTTTAAAGCGGCGTTAACAGAGTGTTTAATGATTTCAAAAGAATATAAATTTGAATATTGTATCTGATGACTACTACGGAAGGCAAAAATAAATGATTTCAGACTCCAAGTTACAATGAATAATGTGGTTGCGGGTTATCTTAAAAATATTCTCTTCGTTTATTTAGTCACGTTTCTTCGCAATCATTATATCCTTTTAGTGTTGTTGATTTTATCCTTTTGTATTAAATAGAAATGTGCCAATTAGAAATAAACTTTGCATCATGTCTTGGTCTCGAGACTACCTAACGATCTATTTGTGCTTGTTTGGCTGTATAAGTAAGTCGTCATAATGAGTGAGGAAAACACATGCCAACAAAATTCCTTTACACGCAACTAAAATCTATCATTCAATCAATCATACACGAACTTTAATGTAGAACCTTGTACAGAAATGTATTACTTCAAGTTGTCACAGTTTGTATCTGCACAAAAAAGCGATTCAATAAAGACAAACTGATATTTAAACCAATAAAAGCAATGAAAACTTTCAGTCAAATCTCAACTACTATGTCATAGATTTAAATCTCTGTCAACTAATTTCAATTTGGCAAACTAAGAAGTATCGCAAACCTTCGTCATACAAATCTGTGATTTAAGGTCAAGTATATATTTCTTTGTCCATGTTAAGATGAGGATTACAAAACAATCAGAATAAAATCTAGCAATCTAAGTGAAAACAACTAACAACAGAAATAGAATCTTAGTGTTCATAACAGTTGGCTGTCAACCAATAGATTACATGTTTGAACACCACTTTATCTATTTGATTTTGCCATCCCGATGGCGATAAGTGGGGCAGTAATGTTAATAAATTACAATGTCTTACCTTAGAAATCTGACAAGATAAAAAAATATAATTTAAAAAAAAAACATGATCGTACCAAAACATTCTCCTGAATTAAATTTTTATCTTTACAAATCGACTCGACAAATATAACTTGAAAACTATGCGTTTTACACCGTTCCATTATCCATAACCGACGCTCTCGTGTTGTATTTGTCGCATCAAAGACGGCAATCCTGCCAACATCTGATGTTAACCAGGAGATTAAGTCATCCAATGCTTCCGATGCAATTTTTCTATGAGATTAAGAGAAAAACAACAAAAACAGGTTCACTGATGGCTAAACTGAGGTATTCAAAGATTTCCGCTATATACAGTTTTTAAAAATTTCCAACCCTGCAGACGTTTGCTTCATTCAACACTATCTGACAACTGACATAGTCCTTGCACCACTCATAGAAAATGAGTGTATATTTACAAATCACTCATCTTTTAATGTGATATACGTTATAGCGTAAATCAGATATTAAAAACCATTACATTTATTATGGTTTAAACTGAAAATCTTCAATAAAAGGAAGAAGACAAACAATTAGAAGTCATGCAACTGAAAACTACAAGTTATATGGTGTCAACATAACAAAATTTGTCCATTAAATATGTTTATACATTAATTAATCAATTGAAGCTCAATGATGCTATATACCAACCTAAGTATCAGTTGGGAGTACCTCAGGATCGTTGAATGAACTGATTATTTAAAAATCGAATGTCAAAATAGTCATACTCAAAGGTCTGAATCCTACTTCAATTAATCCGGATTTATTAGTCTAGAATTTGACTTTCAAAGTTATCAGTTCTTGAATAAGAACATGACACTATATTCGTGAAATAATATACAAGGTGATTAGTATAAACAGAATCGCACAGAATGGAATTAAGAATACATTCGAAGAATTCTATCACAGTTCGAACGATTGAAAAGGTAATAATATTGTCTGTTACTAATTAAAGGTGGTTGTTTAACAAAGTATACTATGAAGTTTCTTTACACAAGGTGTATTATGAATTCCAACAAACGACAGGCCGTCAGATAACTAGCAGGAATAAATTGTTTCTTTTGTAAGAAGCATTATTCAAAAAGTGTATGTTCATTTTGACTACAGTTTTGGGTTATGTGACTTGAAACTTCCGAGGTTCTACTACGAGAAACTGAGGCTAAGAGAGAAATGAGACAGCTAAACTTGGCACTGGAATTAACTCCACCATGTGAAGTTCTATTAGCTATGCATCGTGATGAGCAAAGCACAAAACAACACTTCAAAATGTTTATTGTCAGTTCCCATAAAATTTCACGGGGAAAAACAAATAAGTTAACTTAGTAAAACGATAAGCCAAAAACCGTATATATATTAGGTTTGAAACAAAGACCTGAACTAAACATCCAGGAAATACGTGATATAGCTACCAGCTGGTTTATCAAAGATGGTTTGTCAATCTCAGATTGATTGAGAGTAAAACACTCAACAACTTAAGTTATCGACTTCTGGAGTCGATTATTAAACCGTCCTTACTCCACACTTATGCTATTTTTTATTGTTATCGATTGCTTTTATCACTAAATGTAAGTAGATATGTGCTCAAAGTTGCCGGCTCACTTCTTTAGTTTGTTTTTCCTTTCGGATACCCTAAAACACTGCCCCTTGAACTCTTTCAGTACACAAATCACCTTTGAGCGAAATGTGAACCTACCAAAGACTAAACGTTATACGAGAACAGAAGATTAAAATTTTCGTTCCGTGTTTATAAAATAAGAACAAGTAATTATTGGGAGAAATAAGGTTCGAAAACGATAAACCATACTGTCTGAGTGCTACGCCTTCATTATTTTCGTCGGAAAAGTAACTATGGTCATTGTAATCTTTCATTTGAAGTCGACGATAAGCTCCAACATTGAAAACTAGAAAAAAGAACACATAACAACGATGACCCATCATACCTCGTGTATTAATTCCAACCCAATTTAGGTACCTTGAAAGCTTGGTAGATATATATGACTTCCCACGAGCAGGAAGACCAACTAACACAACAACCGTTTTCTCATCGTCGGAACAAGAATCTGCAAAAGTCAATAATATCGAAACTAAGACTTACCCCAGCTAGCAAGCGGTGCTATGTCTAGGGATACACGACGATCAGAATACATGTTAATAGGATGAAAACTGAGAACTGGTAGGATATGACAAAAGATTTGCAACACACTGACTGTAAACTGACCGGTTTGACCTAGAAGTCAAATTGCCACATACTTTTGAAAAGTGGGTAACTGTAAAATTGGTGTGAAGTAACTTCATTTTTCTGTTTGTATACCAAAAAAGAACCACTTCGTACAACTACTCCTTGGACCAGTTTGATTAAATTTGATTTTTGTTTCTAACCTAAAGTCAGAGGTATTCAACACTACTTAACACGGGAGCTCACTAAGAATATCTTATGTTCCTCCCACAATTATTTGAACGTTTTAGGTTTTACCTACGTCGTTTCTTTGCTTTTGGAACCTGATAGATTTCTATCAGCTGTTTTATCATGGTCGAAATCTGAAACGATAGTTTGGGGTATCGGCTCTGTCATATCACACAGGTTGGAGTTTTAAGGTAAACCATGTATTTGCGGTGCTTGTACTCACTGAAGGTTCCCTTGTATTTTCTCGGCGGCTGATTCGAAGTTCAAATGGAATACCTCTATTAGTAGTCGTCTAGTCCTATTTGTATTGAATTGGACTATTCTTGGAATCCTTAGTTATCTTGTATATGATTGATTCGTCCATAGCTTATAGTCTCGCCATAACTATAGTGTGATCATGAACCAAGTCGACACTAGCGATGTTTGAAATTGATTAAAGTGACTTTGTACAACTAGCAATTGAATATAAACTGATGCTTATTTTCAATCATAAGAAATACGTACTCCTGATTCCCGTTATATGTTTGAGTAATTATTGTGATTCAGTGGGTTTTCAAGAAAGTCTAGTGTAGCTGGACAGTACTCTTGCACTCTTACTTTTTACACCTAGTCCGAAAATAAGTTTCTTATTTTTTTAAACAAAAGGTTGATAATTAAAGTAAAATTATTCACAGCTAATCTCGTGACGGAAACCCTAACGTTAATTGACGAAGCAAACTCCCAATCGTTATTTAACTCCTAATTTCTAGCCCTGCTTATTTTGCATTCTAGACGATATCATTTACTGACTAAAACCCAATTGGGTTACCACAAGAGGATACGCCTAGGGACTCCATTAATCCAGCATAGCACAATCTATCGTCTAACATGTCATGTGGACTTTAAAAACATCCACATAATGCAACTCTGAAGGCCAAATTTTGAACCACATTTAAAAAATTTTAATGACTTGTTTGATCACTGAACAAACAGGTGAATATTTGATAACACACTTTGTTTGGATGACAAGTTGTGATATGTTTTGGTACTTGTACTGACTTATGATTTCCTTGTACTTAATTGCGCGTTTGCTACGAAATGCACGTAGAATACGTCCATTTATGCTCATCTGTCTTAAATTGTACTATTTCGCGAATTCTTACTTGAAACATGGATTTGAATACTTCTGCTTATTATATTAGCGTCACGATGGAACCTGTGATTGAGCGGTTGGACATACATTCCAACTCTAAAGTTTCCGAGGATTACATAAAAAAGTTCGAAATCAAGATCAGGAAAGGTTTTAAATATGACAAAATTGTGGCCTTTTTTCTTACATTCATCAGAAATTATGCCTAACGCTCATTAAAATATCGGCATTTCCAGATAAGTATATTTGACTTCCCTATGCAACTATCACCAAATCATGTAGTGTACTAATTTCGAATGCCTTGAAAGAGAAAATTTCACAAAATTATTCGTCAAGACAACCAGAAGATTAGAGAATTTATCCTCAAATCGCAGAAACAAAACGTGAAGATGCGCGATCGATTAATTACAGGAACTAGCATACCAAATCCGAAAAAAGAGCTTATGCAAATTCCGAAGTGTTCCAAGATTCTGGAACTGAGTGTGTAAATTGCGGCGGAGTGTATGTGTTGACTTCTAGGACATTGGGACCTATACTAAATTTCTTAGTTATCCTAATATGATGTGTACTCCAAGTCACGGTAATAGGCAATCAATTGATGATAATACTCATTCTCATGGAAACATGTATTATAACCTATTGAAGATTTGCACAGCAGGTTACACAGATGAGCACAGGTTTAGTTAGTGTCTGCCGTGCGACAAAATTTATCCACGTAAATTATGTGAGTTTCATCATGCTGTATGCTTCGAGTGTGATAAAATGGGATGCATCACGTCGGTGTATAGAGCAACCGTTCATTTCGCCACTAGTAGTACCAAACTTTTTAGCTCGAATTCTACTAATTTGGGTGATTCTAATAACAGCACACCGTCCTTATTTACGAACTCTAGTTTGATGGTGCTTTCATGATTCTGTTGTGGAGGTTAGTTGCATAAAATCCATCATTTTAGTTGGAAGGTTGAGGTCATTGAACCCTCATGTCATAATTGAAACTGTCGGGTATTTTCAGTCATAAACTTACGGTTATTAAATATTATAATTTACTGATAAGGGATGATAAACCCTCTATCATAACTTGTAAGTTCCTCATCATTTACCGTGTACTATCGTTACTGGGTCTGGAAAATTTAACAGCATTTCAATAGCAGCCTTCCTCCTCGACCACTAAGGACTGTTCTAATGAAATGTTTGGTCACTTGTCAACAACATAATTGAAGCGCGATACTCTCTTAATGTGATGCTCAGGCGAGAAATGTCAGGAACTTGGAAACCGTATTCAATTCTGTCACTGCGGCGAAATTTAAAGATCTAGGGAGGAGAGTGCAGGATTGCCAGACACTACTCATAAAAATATAAATGATGAAATTGCTCAAACAAAAAATCTCCATCTGTATATAAGATGTTCGCAGTCTGCTGATGTTTTATGCTATTGAGGAATTGAATACCCACAATCTGCTTAAACTTTATGATAAATCTGTGGTTCATATGCAAGCCAGTCACAGCATAAATGCATTATGAGAACCTGGATGAATTCGTCATGCATTCTACTGTTAATTAAGATACTAATAAGTACATTCTGAATTGTATGGAGTCTATATCCAATGCACATCCAGACAGACTAATGATAAACCTAAGTAGAGGACACATTAGAACATAAAGATTGAGAATCCTATAGAACTATGGTCTGCTTTGATGTTAGTACTGCTCTAATAATAGATCTATTTCTAAAATTGTAGGTTTGTCATGATATAACTGCCTAATCTATAAGATCTTACGTGGAAGTCACATCATCGTCTACACCAACTCACCACATCGTAACAATTACCAATACATGATAAAGAACAAGCTTAGGATAGAGGTAGAACAATACATTTAATATGAATAGAAGATATAAGGTAACATTCAGCAGAGACCACGCCTGCGAGACCGAGCCATGCCATCCAATCAACTCGAATTAATCCAACTCTTTCTTCCTGCCTTTTCCACGTTGGGTTTTTCTCCGTGTCAATTGTTGAATATCCATTTTCCCAGTTGTCTCGTGTTCAGCTTTCAGGATTGTGTGTTTAGGGCCCAATATCACTACACTCCCGTTCAATCAGTAACGGTCGTGGCATTTGTAATAAGTGATGATTCTGTTGAACTATGGTCTAGTTCGTCATTTATTCCTTTCTAATAATAGATCCAATTTTACAATCATAAATTTGTCATGACGTGACCACCTAATCTAAGTCACGTCAATGTCTATTCTAACCCATCGTATCGCAAAAATTGGCGATATAATGTTCAACGTTTTTAAAGGACACATTCAAGCTGGAGAGAGAACAATATATTTAGTCTGAATAAAAGAGATAATCTACACAAAAATGACTGCGCTTGCAGGATTGAACCACGCCACCCAGTTGAATGTTCCCACTTTCACCAACGTTGACTTTCTCTTAGCGTTCAAAGTTGAATATGCATCTTTTGAGTAACTATATGCTCGGTTTCAAAGATTGTGTAGTCAGGAACCTATACCAATACAATTCCTTTTTACTTGATTGCGCGCTTGTTACGAACTCTGGATATGATACATCCACTTGTGATCATCCAGTTCCATCTACATTAAGTCACATTATCCCGGAAATTCTTAGTTAGCCCATCAATTCGTTTACTTCTAAATATCATACCTTTACGTGTTTATGGGAGCACTTACCTAGTTCATGTTAATTCTAGGATTGACCCCACATGTCCTAATAATTTGAATGCATTTCTATCCGCTTTGAATAATTAAATTAACTAACAAATGACGCTATTCGAAGGTTTCAACTAGAAACTATTATCGAAGATAGAAAGTGATAATCCTGTGGAGATGGGCCTGACAAGCTTATTTTGTAAATAGTTTTTAATATTTGTGTTTATTTTGTCAATCTTTCACAGTCTGTATATTTTATCATTAAATGATTGTACCTGTTGTTTTAGTAAACGGCCTTGAACACACTTTCCGCTGTGATACTGACATAGTGTGACACACTCATGGTTGTTCGCAAATACACTACTACACACACACTCCTTGTTCTATTCTCACGCGTTATCGAGCCAATTGCATTCTAAATCGAATATTATCCACATTTTAGACTGTCGTGCCATCTCTATTACATCCTACGTCAAGGAAACTTGCTGGAGTCACATTTACCTCATTGGAGTTATTACTCATTTATAATTGTGGATATTGGTAACAAAACATCAACGGAATACACGACAACTAGCTGATTTAAGTAACGTCCCTGAATTTTTATTTTGTGTTACTAATTTATAAATGGTTATTGTTACATTAACTTTTGGAAGCAATAACTTTATTGCTAATTTTTGGTTATTATACTTTTTGGTCCACCACAATCCCAAATGGAAGTGGTGATAAGCTGTCTTCCTCATCAAAAGAACACTGTCTGTTCCATGCTCCTTAGAGTTATATAAGACCTTAATGCAAGCTCAGTTTTTGCAATTACCTTTGTTCTGAATGACAAGTCCTAAAAAGCAGGAAATAATAAAAGCCTTGTATTTATATAACCTGCTCGATCGGCTTGTTCATTCCATTGTTGTCACCTCACGGATGTTGGAACTTTAACCAACTC